AGCTGGGAGCCACATGCTAGCCCTGGGCTCAAGCCCCCTGCCCTTTCTCCCCAGGGTTAGCAGCTGAGTACTCACAGGTCCCTGGGGAGCCACGGAAAAAAACCCACACAGTTCCGACTTCCTCCAGGGTTCGCTTTCAAGACAGAGGTCAGGTACCTCACCGCCATCAGGGCCCAGATGGGGCTTGGACAGCCCTGGACAGGAGGCTGCTTTGCATGGGGTTCCCCCTCACCCTGGACTGCTGGAGTGATAAGAGAGACTTGGGGAGCCCAGGTCCAGCTGAAGGTCCTCAGGATGCAGAACTGTGGGGGGTCCCGACCACGGCCTGGGCTCCTCCTTTTCATTCTCTCCTCATTCACCGCACAGGTGGTTGGAGCCCAGTCTCAGAACTGTGAATGAAAGGAATGAGGATTCTGTTGCCCTGTCCACTGACCCCGCCACTCTCACCCCGTGTTTGTCTAGAGGTTCTGAAACAATCTCTGAGGACTCCGTGGTGTGCTCTGCTCACATCCGTGGGGCAAACAACCAGCGTTCATCACACTGGAAGCAGCAGCAAGGCTGAGTGTGGGCCTGTGTCCAGGTACCAGCATCACCCAGCAGTGTCTGCAAACTGCTCATATGATAGCAGTCACCGGTCTGCACAGGTCCAAGCCCAGTTCTAGGGCTTCAGGTCAAAGAATGTGGCCTCCCTGAGCATCTGTGGGCTACAGGTAGAGAACAAGGCTGAGTCCTATGCTCAGCTTGAGACCCAAGCATCCATACTCACACAGTGCTGCAGGCCAATGGGGAAATGGGAGAAAATCCTGCTGTCTACCCAGTGATCAGGCATCCCTGGGCAGTCCCTCCCCTTGACCAAGTAAAGTAATTAACAGTGTGTGGCCAAAATTTAAAGTCTCAGACCTACTCCAGTGAACACGGTCTACAGAATGTGTCCCGTTCTCTGCAATTCTATCCACACATCCCACTCTTAGCAAGAACACATTGTCATATTGCCTCATATAGAGAAAGACCTGTCGATACCATGGTCAGGCTGTCCTGGGAGCCAAGTCGATGGTAGGTCAGGACTAAGAGTCCCCTGTGTCTGACCCAGGATGGCCAGCTACCAGAGGTCTGTCCATCCACAGCATTTGCTGAGCACCTACTGTGTGCCAGACACAGGGTGAAAGACTCAGGACACAGGGAGGACAACACAGGATGGTGCCTGTCCTCATAGAGCTGACACCGACTTGCAAACAAGACACCCAAGTAAAAATACTGATGTAGTAAGATGGCGTCGTACAGTGAGGGAGGAGAGCTTGGGTGGGGGAGGGTGGAGCAGCCATTGGAGGGTTGGGGAAGAAGGACACAGGATCTGGGGTAAGTTTGTGACGACAATTCCGGTTGCTTCAGAGAAGATGGACAAGGAGGTAGAAAGTGTGAAGGCCGTGGGACCAGCTGGGGTCACCGGAGAACGTGGTCAGACTGATCACCGGCTTCTGGTGAGGAGGGACTGAAGCCTGGGTGAGCGGCGAGGTGGGACTTAGCACCTGAGCGGGGCACAGTGATTACACTACTCGGGGGTCCTTCAAGTCTTGGGGGCTGCAGGAAGCCTTAAGCTCATTGTCACAGTGAAAACTTACACAACAGCTTCCCAGCCTTGATCAAAGGTGTCACAGGACCTTTTCCTCTCCACGTGGCAAGAAGGAGAGAAAATATCTCAGATATATGAGATGTCAGTTCTCCCTCCTATCCACTGGCTGAATTCCTATTTCGAAAAAAATGGACTCCCCAATTTCACATATTACATTCTCAGTATAAAAAGTTCCCAAATGAGAAAGATCTGCCCTTTCTGCCCCACTGCTCAGAAATCTCAGCCTTCAGGACAAACAGACTATTCATGGCATCTCCCACGACAGCTTCATAGTGACCAGGGAGCCTATCTGAATGCTTTTGGCCACACACGACCTGTCCCTAACATTGCAGCTGGGGACATTACATGCTAAACTCATGGCTGGGAGATCTGGGGTCCAGATATGACAGGACAAGAAAAAAAAACAGGAGACATGCCTAAGTAGCCCTACTGTGTGAATCACTCTACCCTCCACGCTCATCTTTAGTTCAGGATGGGTGTTGTCTTGTGAAGACTGAAAGGTGGGCTGGGACACAGACAAGCGTGTTTCTGTCTCATAAAACTCCATGGTGGGCTCTTTGACCTTTCTAATATCCTTTTACAGATCTGTTCAGGCTAAGATACACAATACCCATCAAGGAGGCATTGACTGGAGAATCAGGTAGTGTTTGGAGAGACAGAAAACAGATAAACACCCTCATGTTGGCCTCCTAAGCCCAGAGGAAAAAAGTTTTTAAAAAAGAGGAAAAAGGATTTGAAGAAGAGACACTAGAGGTCACTGATCGCCACCACCGAGTCCCTTGTTCTCCATCTGCTCCTGCTCCTCTTTCACCTGAGGACCAGACTCAGGGGACAGCATCTGTCCCTCCCCTCTGTTCACACACTCCATAGGATGCGTCCTTCTGCTCCCATCCCAAGGCTGCTGCTCCCCCAGGTCACCTGTGTCACTGCTGAGAGTCCTCGCTGGGTCCTTGTCCCCGGGTCTGAGATCAGTATCAACCTGGCTCTGACTCAGCTGTGGCCCTGCCTCTTCAGGACACAAAGCCAACTATTAGAGACATAACGGAACTCTCCGAGTTTACTCAAACCTTAGTTTCTTCTTCTCAATGTCCTTCTAGAAAGTGCTGTCTCTACCTAATAATGTCATATTATTTCCTCAGGTCTAGGGCTGTTTCATTTCCAAAACCCTACACTCACTCTTACGTTCTCATTCCCTCACATGGCTCATTTTCCACTCAGCAGCTAATGACGCCCACCACGCGTCTACAGTCCATTGTCAAAAAAGGCAGATGGGAGGGTTCCTTTATACATACAGGGTTAGCAGAGAAAGGTTTCACTACCCATTAGAAAATACTCAAAGATCTAAGAAAATTCATTCCAGAGCTTTAGGAGTTGACTCCTGAGAAACAACGACATGAATACATTAGGTGGTGCCTGTTCCTGGCCCTCGCAGTGACTAACCTCAGAAAGGTTCAGAGTATACGGTTCCAAAAGGCAAGTGCATGACTTTTACAAAAATCTAGTATTAACTAATGTTGACAATTTTACTTGGCATATATATTTTTGAAGAAAAGCAGTGTTATGCTTTAAAAAAAAAAAAGTTTAAAAGCCAATTAAAAACACGGTGCTTACATTCTACCAGGATGGCACTTGTGAAGCAGATTTTCTTTGCTGAGGATACACTGTCTTTTAAAATAATAGCAAAATAGCTTTAAATTTGTCTTCTTCTCTCACAACAAGCCAAAAACTTACATGATCCCATTGATATGAAACATCTTTTTTAGAAAGCCTGTACATTTGAACATTTCCATCTCGCACCTCCCACCCAGGCTCTCCTAAAGCGGAAGGTCCTCTTCTGCTGCCCACGTTCTCCCTCTCTCCACGCCTCTCCCACTCACACACGGCTCCTCCCTGCCTTCCTTTCCAGGAGCCCCAGCAGATAAGGCCAGTAAACAAGCTCCTGGACTTGGGGAACAAAGGTACATCTTCTTAGATTGCTGAGGTCTTGCCCTGCAAGGGTGTTTTTCTAAATCACAATCCTTCCTTCCAGGGGGTCCGCTTTTCCAAGATCCTGTTATTTATATTATGTTATGCATCTGTGTCTACTTTGTGGACTTCCCTACATCTTCACCTGAACCCAGGAGTGTTCAGATCAGGTTGATTTCTCTTGGTTCTCCTATGGTCTTTTCCTCTTTCTTCCTCTGATTACACCAAATCATATCTTCCTGGACCCTGGAGTGCAGCAGGGCCTCTGTGGTCTCTGACCCAGGGATTATGGAAATGGAAGAGGGCTCCAGTGCCCCTCCTATGCCTTTGTTTTTATCAGGATGAACTGCAAAAGGCAGCAATTAGGCTTTCTAGATCAACATGGCATTTCCAACACTGAGCTCTATGTCCAGGAAAAGATACACGTTCCATAACTATTTGACAAAGACCTACCTCTTATCACATGGGGTACATTCTAGTGGCCCCAGGATGGGGCTTAACTGGGAGACGTAGCTGTGGACCTGCTAATCTCTCTGCCCTCTCCCTAAGAGCTGATGTGGTATCCACCAGAAAGAGCATTCATGGGTAGGGAGGGGACAGTGGGCAATCTTCTCCTGCATGTGAGACACTGCTCAGCCTGGTTACAGAACCCAGATGACTATGACCTCAATCCTGGGGCAGTAGAGAACACAGCTTTACCAGAATAACCATCTGGGAATGTGTGCTGGGCATCCTAGAGGAAAGAGCTCCCTTTCAACTCAGTGCTGCAGGATCACAGAGGAAGGAGAGCTCTGGCCACCAGGGAGGAACCACATGAGAGGAGAGGTCTTGATGTGGGAAGTGAGTTCATGAAGGTCAGTCCCTGCTCCGGGTTTGATTCTGACCTATGAGGATGTTGTGTAGTCACCACCTGAATCCTCTACAACAAACGGTGAGGGCGCCATGGACAGATTCACTCCGGAGGAGCCCAGTAAAGTCTGAGGACAGTCCTGAGGTCACAGGGAGAGGATACAGTCACCACCTGGCCTGACAGAGAAGGGGACAGAGAACAGAACAGCAGGGAGGCATCAGTGTCTCTGAGAGGCTCTGGTCACCTTGTAAATGGTTTGTTTTGGTCTGGACACCAGGAGGAGCTTGGCAACCATTCCTGAGAAGACTGGGGGTGATTAGAGCAGAACCAGCCACCTGCCCTGCCTGGTGTCCTCTTCTCAGGGCTCACAGCTGCGTCCTCCCCACCCCTTAGGACCACAATGCCCCACTCCTGCCACCCCCTGACATCCTCAGGCATAGGGACCTTACCCAGGGCCTAGGGTGGGATTAGAAAGCTGTGGGTTCTGATTTGCATGGATGGACCCTCCCATTCTCAGATATGTAGAGGGGCAGGGAGACATTTGGGGAAGCTCTGCTTCAGCTGTGGGCACGGAAGGCGACACTCAGGACAATCTCCAGCATGGCCTGGGCTCCTCTCCTCCTCACTGTCCTGGCTCACTGCACAGGTGACTGGATGGGGTCCAGGGGAGGGACCCTGGGAAGCCTATGGATTCTTGCTTTCTCCTCTTGTCTCTACACCCAGAATGATGATGCCTGTGTGTCTCCCACTTCCAGGATGCTGGGCCCAGTCTGTGCTGACTCAGCCACCCTCAGTGTCTGGGAACCCTGGGCAGAGGGTCACCATCTCCTGTTCTGGAAGCAGCTCCAACATTGGAAATTATTATGTGCACTGGTACCAGCAGCTCCCAGGAACGGCCCCCAAACTCCTCATCTATGATAATAATCAGCGACCCTCAGGGGTTTCCGACCGATTCTCTGGCTCCAAGTCCGGCACCTCAGCCTCCCTGGCCATCACTGGACTCCGCCTTGAGGACGAGGCTGATTATTACTGCTTAGCATGGGATGACAGCCTGAATGCTCGCACAGTGCTCCGGGCCAATGGGGAACTGAGACAAGAACCCCCTTCCTCCTCTGCCAGGAAGGTGAGTCCCTGGCAGCTGCTGCTCAGGCCTGCTCTGTGGCTTCTGCTGCTGAAACTCCCCTACTCATCTCAGCGGCATCCAGGGCCCTGCCTGAGGGTAGAGACTCCATTTCTTTGTACTCAGAGTCAGGAACCGGAACTCTAAGAAACAGAGCTTCCTGATCCTGCATCTTAGGACGCAGGGTCTCTGCACTGCAATCCTGGGCTGAGGTGGCAGGGCCAGCTGTGTCATCACAGACCTTCCTCTGATGGGGAGCCTGTGTCTCCATCATCCTCCTTTCCACAATTCCAAAAGTTTCCAGAGGGGTGTCTTTCTCTCCTTGGTCCACAGTGTGAATCCCAAGTCTTTTCTCCGACACCCATTCTTTATTAATAAAATTCTTTTCATGGAGGAATTGTGCACATACAATAAACCACCCATACTTTAGTAGGAAATTAGACACATTTTAGCTTTTTTCTGGATCCTTGAAAACGTCACCACTACTGAGCTATTCAGCCTGTGTCCAATCCCAGCAGCTCTTCATGACACTTTGCTTTCTAACATCTCCCTCCCTCCCCCAACACCCTCCTTAAAAGCCACAGATCTGCCTCTGTCACTGTTAGGCTTCCATGTCCTGGAATGTATCAGTGTTATCACACATGATCTTCCTATTTCTTCAGGCTTTGTTCAGCCTGCACACTTCTTTTGTGATTCTCCCTATCCTTGCTGAATTGCACCCATCCCATAGAGGGCTAGTATATTTGAGGGTCCCTAGGCCATTTTGCCTTTTTTACAGCAAAATCATAGATTAAAATAATTCATGTGAAGAAACACATGGGCAGAGTTCAAGAGAATTCCAAGCACAAGCATCCAGGTGTCCTCTCCCAGTGGAGTAGTAGACAATGCTGCAATCTTCTGGATGCAATGTGTGATTCTGATCTATGCTCGCTCTGGAGAGGTTGAACTGTGTGCTTTAACAGCAGTGATAACTGATGAGTTCTAGGTCAGAATCCATGAGAGGGCAGGTGTCAGTGGTGAGGTGCCTGATTCAGAGCACACTGATTTACAGAGTGGGCAGCTCTGATTTGGGGGTGCTAGTGGTGTCAGCCCCATGAAGACATTTTTTTTAGTTATTCTTGGAAGATATTAGGAAATCTAGGGCATGATTTCAATGACAGATAGAGAAAGTAGTACAAAATAAGAATGAGCAGAGTATTGACAAGTAATGCGTGTGAAGTGGACTGGAGAATACAGTGGTAATGTCACAGAGATACATCAATAGTTATTTGTTAAGCGAGTCAGTCTAGAAACCCATGGGAAGTTTGCACAGTTAGCACAAGAGTAGATATGGGATTCGTTGAACAAGTGATGGTCTCTGCCTTTAACTGCTCAAGCATTTAAAACATGTACAAAAACAGTTTGAGGTTAAAATATCTCCTGAACTGTCAAATACGCAGAAAATATCCAGGAAGAAAACAGAGGTGGTAACATTAATAGACAAAAATTTTATAACATCTAGGTCAAACTCTTGGCCAAAAAATATGACACGATTGCACGCAAAATCACAGGTTTTACTGAGGGAGATGATGGCTAACTTCAAAAAGAGAGAAATATGACCCACTATCCATTGGTAAATGTAAGTCCACCGAATCTATTCATTTCCTTACATGACTAAATTGAGTCAACTGTCTGTAAAATGTCTGTAACAATAGTACAGACAACTTTTGCTGAATTGCTGCCTTTAACATGTTAGGAATAATTTATTTTCCTTGGAAAATGTTCTTTTCTCTGTTCTCCTGAACAGCCCCTACATGCCTGTCGATCTAGCTCTTCTGCCAACACCTTCTCTGTGATGCCTACCTGGAAGGCACATGTGAGCAATTAGATATTCAGAAGGCACTGTGAAGATGCTAACCCCTTTAAAAGACGTATGTACGTGTGAGAATACCCAAATGGACCAAGACATTTTCTGGGGTTGAGAAATCACAGTTATTATGCACAGCATGACAGAATCAGTGTGTCTGAATGACACTACAGATGTGTGAATAGAAACAGTGACTGGTGAGCTGCAGATACCGAATGGGCCACGGGAAGCTGTGTGTCCTCTAACCAGCATGGGATGCTGTGGAACTGTTCTATGGTCTCTACACAGCTGCTCAGTAAGGACCATTCAATCAAAGAAACCGACGCCTTGGGACGAAGGCTCCATGCTGGAAGGCACATGTGATGTCCCACTGATGGGGACTAAGCAGCTCCGTCCTCCCCTGGCCTGGCAGAATACCCCGAGCAGGGACCTGAGTCCAGTCTCAGCAGGTGCTTGCTTCCTGGGCCTTCACAAGAAAGAAAGCAAACTTTCCTCTTCCTCAGTCTGCAGTGTGAGCTGAACTACAGCCCAGGGCTCAGGGAGGAGCTGGGCAGTCTCTTGGTAGAAACACCTTTGCATGAGCCGCCCCTGCTCTGCAGAGTGGGAAGAAAAAGAGGCCTCGGGCAGCTCAGCCCCACTCTGGGGTCAGAGGCTGAATCCACCATGGTTTAAGATTTCTCTTTTCCCCCCACTTCTCTCTCACTGCACAGGTACGGACAGGCTCCAGAGACCAGGGGCAGCCACCCTGCATGATTCTGGCCATTCTGGCAGAGATCCATAAAACATTTCACGTTGGGAGGTGTGTTTTCACGGTTCCTCTCTCAGCCTGTGCTGACACAGCCAGCCTCTCTCTCTGCATCTCCTGGAGCATCAGCCCGGCTAATCTGCACCATCCAAAGTGACATGTTGGTAGCTACCGGATATGGATTGCTCCCGGGTATCTCCTGAGCTACTACTCAGACTCAAGTAAATGCCAGGGTTTTGGAGCCCTCAGCCACTTCTCTGGATCCATAGGTACCTCGGCCAATGCAGAGCTTTTACTCACCTCTGGGCTCCAGTCTGAGGGTGAAACTGACTATTACCGTATACTTCGGCACAACAGCGCTTTTCACAGTGACACACACAGAAAGAGACGTAGAGAAAAAAACATGACCTATTCTCACTCTTGTTCTGTGACAATTTTCAAACCTACTCAAGGCTCCCCATCTCTCTTCTCTCCCAGACACCCCACGGCTTTCTCTTTCTACAGAAATAAAAAGAAGTTGGCCACAGAGGGCCAAGGGAGGTCCGGGCATTATCCTAGACAGCAGATCCAATGCTAAAATACCTGGCTTACACAGAAACTACATTTGGAAGTACTTTCTAGCTGCAAAACACTCTTCCTTCAATTTCCCATCCATTTTTATAAAGTCTCAGTAAGACAAAAACAAAACCAAACAACCTGATGACACAAAGTGTTGGCTGATTGTCCACATGTGCTATCCTTTCAGTAACATGAGTGACGGCAGCTAACACCAGGGCCTGTGGAGCTAGGCCTTATTTCTTGAAAGAAGAAAAATGAGCCCTTCCTAACTCAACATACGGTCAGAGCCTGGGAACATTCTTGCAGGTGAACAGACCCTGGAGCATGGACTCTGCTCTTCCATGGTTCAAACCAGAGACCTCCCCTCCCACCCCAGTGGTCTGTGCTCAGGGCTGTCTGAAGCTCACAGTGTCCAAGGAACAAGGCACTCCAACATGAAATGTTGCATGAGGACGCAGGTCAGTGGGGATTTCAAGCACAGAACTGACCTGGCTCAGTGCTGGGAAGCTACATTTCAGTTGTAATATCAGAAGAGAGGCTTGGGTGTGGGGCTAACTAAGGCCGGAAAACCTCTATGTAAGACAGGAGACGGTGAAGGGGAGGCTCCACCACAGTTGAAACAGGCCTGAGTGTGCTCTTGGCCACTGGGAAGTTCATTCTCTAAAGTGTCTTTCCTGCAGCTCATCTCACTCAGGACCACAGGGACTGCAGATGGTGGGTTTCCGGGTCCGCAGGGCCTGGATGTGTTTTCTCTTCTCCCTTCTTACGCCACTGGAGCTTCTAACAAGGGTAGGTTTTAATGGTGGGTCTGTGGAATATCTGGCTACAGAAACTGCCAATATTTGCTTCAAATGACTCCTCCCTGTGAAAGTCTTGAGGAGGCTCCTATCTTGAGGTCAGCTTTTCCTGCACGGAAAGCAACAGAAGCATTAGGCATTCCCACGGAAGTGACCACTGAGGGATCCCTGAGAGAGCACACGTATCTGACACCCAGAAGAGCAGTGATGGACCTTCAGGCTTCCCAGCCTAATTCTCCTGCTCTAGCTTTGTCGACACAGCCTTCTTGACCACCTCTGGGCTCCAACCTGAGGACGAGGCTGACTATCACTGTCACACAGCTTCATCCAGACTCCGTGTCACCAAGAGCTCCTGTTCCATGGAGAAATGAGTGAAAGATCACACCGACTCCTCCTGTCTGTCCAGTCCCTCCCCTATCCCTGTCTGTGACCAACACCAGTTGATGCTAGGCCTTCTGCTGTCACTTGTGTTGCTGAAAGCAGAGCATGGCTTCAGGGAAAATCACTCCTTTTCTTATTGATGTCACGGCAGAAACAGAATCAGTTTTTTTCCTGAAACGAAAGGAGTTGCCCACAGATTGTGGATGTGGATGGAAGAAGAATCCAGCCTGTGTGACTCCGAGACCCAGGTGCCCTCTGCCTGGCCTTTTCAGTGTTTCCTCTTCTTGCTGCAGGTATGCTGGCCATTATCTGACCTCTGAAACTGAGGGAGAGATGACAAGAAAGGAGAATCCAGCCTGTGTGTCCCAGAGGCCCATCTGTGAGAGTGGAAGTCTGATACTTAAGGAAATGTGGGCTCAGCATTTAGACAGGCCTGGCTCTGGCTTGGCCCAGGGCTGCTCTAGAATAGAAGCAAGAGAGATGCTCAGCCTTGTAGAGCCCAGTCACAGCTGTCCTGTCAAGGGGCTGATCTCTCTGCAATGTGAATATCCTGCAGAGACGACCATAGAGAGGCTGCAATCCCAGCATGATGCAAAAAAAACAAATTGAAGTGAGCAGGAGATGTTTTTATGGGAATGAGGAATCAGGTGTGGGGTCAGATTGGTAAGGAAAGTACAGTCCTGAAAAACTACTGTCCATTGTGACCCTTAAGAGGAGGAGCCCCAGGGACTAGAGTAGTGACAAAGGAAACCCTGAAGGCCTTGGGCCCTGGAGACACATAGTGACTGGGGTTTGGTCCTGTCCTCGAGGGTCCCTGAGAAGTATCATATTAAAAAACCATGCACAGTGTTTTCTAGCCAGTGCTCACTGTCCCAGGTGCTGTCCCGCCCAGATTTTCTTGGTGTCCAGTTTCCTTCCTGGGGTCTTTTCACCAGCACCAGATCCCGGGAGTAGATTCACCTTCGGTACCCAGAGTGGGACTTGCACAGCCAAGTGGAAAAGACCAGATTTAGAAGAATATCCTGTGTCTGCCTAGGGTGTGGGGTCTGGATGCTGAGGTGTGGACACTGGAGCTTCACTCGAGGCCTGAGAGGTGCTCCTCCATACCTGCACTCCTTCCTTCACTCTCCTCTCATTTCTCTCCTTACTTTAGCTGTGGCCAGGGAGGGCTCAGAGCTACCTGAGGTCCTTGCTAAGCTCAGGGCCTCTAGCCAAGGCATTGTTTTCAAACTCTGTAATGACTGTCTCTGAAACTGTGGAAACATTTATTTCCATGTGCCCAGGACAGGGTTAGAGGGCACCAAACCCACCCATTGCAAGTCACTCATCACCTCTCAGTGCCACAGTGAAAAGAAGAGTTTGAAATCAGAAACCTACTTAAGGCTCCCCTCTCTCCTCTCTCCCATATGGCCCCTGGTTTAGTCTTTCTGCAGAAATAAAGAGGAGGTGGCCACAGAGAGCAAGGGGACATGTTGGCATTGTCCTAGGGAGCAAGGCCAGGCAGTCACCTCAGGTTGTTGGGGGAGGTGGTGGAGGTGTCTGTGATCAGGAAATAGTGAAGTCCCGCTTACTAAAGTGAGGAGGGATCCATAAACTGAGGCTCAGATGGTGGAGCAGACCTCCTGAGCCAGCTACTTATTTTTTTCTTGTGTTCCAGTTTGGGTAAGAATAGGATACACACACACACACACACACACACACACACACACACACACACACACAGTTTTGAAGATGTTCCTTTCCTGAAATAAGAATCTTAGAGGACTGACTCAGGCATTGACGGGAGAATGAGCTTCAATCTTAGGCCAAAAGTGTTGAGGACTTTCAAGGAAATTGGCTAGGACTGAAGTTCCCGGACTCCGGCATCTAAGACTTATGCCCTTTTAGCAGAGCCCAGCACTGATACCCAAATGGACGAGGGCTGATAGATAAGTCTAGAATAGCCCAGATGAAATAACCCCAGGAGCTTAATTCTAAATCTAGAAGAGAAGTATGTTTTGTGGTATATAGCAGAATGAGGATCAGGCCTTGAATCCTAAGACCTGGGCTTGAAGTCGGGCACTGTGGTGCACATCTGTAGCACCAGGTACCTGGGAGGCTGAGGTGGGAGGATCACTTGAGCCCAGGGGTTTCAGGTGACAATAGAGCTGTGATCATGACCCTGCATTCCAGCCTGGGTGACAGGTGAGACACTATTTCTAAACAAAGTAAACATCTGGGCTTGGGTCCTGGCATTTACTGTCTACGTGGCCTTGGGCAGCCCAACCTCTCTGAGCTTTACTACCTCACCTGAAAAATAAAGATAATGATGATTACACCTTGTCAGTAAAGTTGTTTGAAAGAGGAAATGGGATCAATACGAAGCCATTCCCTTACTATTAGAGATGAAAGCTCAGATACTGGAGGCCAGACTTCCTCAGGGGTTTGAGCATTTCAGAACACCCTGTCTGGAGGCCAGACTGGCAGAGACATGCTTGGGACAGACTGAAGCCAGGAAAGTGCCTGATTATGGCAGTGTAAGGGCCAGGATACACCAGGGTTGCTACGGAAGGGGCTAGAAAACAATCAATTAATTAATTGTGCTTAGTGTCTTCATCATCGTAGAATTTATGCCTGAGATTGACAAATATTCTATCTATCTATCTGTCTGTCTGTCTGTCTGTCTATCTATCTATCTAGTCTATCTTTGTGCAATTTGTCAGTAAGGGACTGAGAAGGAGTGACGGTTCAGAGGGAGAGGCAGGGACTCCGGGAGCAGGCTCTGATCAGCCCAAAGAGAAAAGAGCGAGTACCTCTCAGTACCTTGGAGGGAGGTGCTGCCCTGTCCCCAAGGCTTCCTGCTTTGAGGACCCCAGGGAAGGTTTCTCAGGGAGACCAAGCTCCCAGGACTGCCCTGTAAGCCACACCATGAGCTGAGCAGGTCAAGGGGGAGAAGGACTATGTGGAGACCTGAGACTCAGGTGCTTACTGGCCTGGACCCGGTCCAGCTTCATCCTACTGGGAGAGGACAAAGTGTGCAATGGAGACAGTTACTTGGGCCTATCTCAGCCTTGGGCAGTAGGGGGTGCTGTGTTCTGTCTCCCAGGCCTGTGCTGTGGATCCCAGCTGGGAGCCACATGCTAGCCCTGGGCTCAAGCCCCCTGGCCTTTCTCCACACGGTTAGCAGCTGAGTACTCACACGTCCCTGGGGAGCCATAGAACAGACCTACACTGTTCCGCCTCCTTCCAGTGTCTGCTTTCAAGACAACTGTCAGAGTCAGAACCCAGGTGGGGCTTGGACAGTCTTGGGGAGGAGGCTGCTTTGCATGGGGTCCCCCCTAACCCTGGACTGCTGGAGTGATAAGAGAGACTTGGGGAGCCCAGGTCCAGCTGAAGGTCCTCAGGATGCAGAACTGTGGGGGGTCCTGATCACGGCCTGGGCTCCTCTTTTTCAGTCTCTCCTCATTCACTGCACGGGTGGCGGGAGCCCAGTCTCAGAACTGTGAATGAAAGGAATGAGGATGCTGTTTCCCTGTCCACTGACCCGCCACTCTCACCCCGTGTTTGTCCAGAGGTTCTGAAACAAACTCTGCTGACTCAGTGGTGTGCCGTGTTCACATCCGTGGGGCAAACGACCAGCGTTCATCGCACTGGAAGCAGCAGCAAGGCTGAGTGTGGGCCTGTGTCCAGGTACCAGCATCACCCAACAGTGTCCGCAAACTGCTCATATTATAGCAGTCACTGGTCTGCACAGGTCCAAACCCGGTGTAGGGCTTCAGGTCAAAGAAAATGGCCTCCCTGAGCATCTGTGGGCTACAGGTAGAGAACAAGGCTGAGTCCTATGCTCAGCTTGAGACCCAAGCATTCATACTCACGCAGTGCTGCAGGCCAGTGGGGAAATGGGAGAAAAACCTGCTGTCTATCCCGTGATCAGGCATCCCTGGACAGTGCCTCCTCTTGACCACGTAAGGTAATTAACACCAGTGTGGCCAAAATTTAAAGTCTCATACCTACTCCAGTGAACACGGTCTACTGAATGTATCCCGTTTTTTGCAATTCCTTCCACACAACCCACTCTTAGCAATAACACATTGTCATATTGCCTCATATAAAGAAAAACCTGTCAGTACCACGGTCAGGCTGCCCTGGGAGCCAAGTCCATGGTAGGTCAGGACAAGACTAAGAGTACCCTGTGTCTGACCCAGGACAGTCAGCTACTAGAGGTCTGTCCATCCACAGCATTTGCTGAGCACCTACTGTGTGCCAGACACAGGGTGAAAGACTCAGGACATAGAGAGGACAACACAGGATGGTGCCTGTCCTCATAGAGCTGACACCAACTTGCAAAAAAGACATCCAAGTAAAAATATGGATGCAATAAGATGGCGTCGCACAGGGAGGGGAGGAGAGCTTGGGTGGGGGAGGGTGGAGGAGCCGTTGGGAGCGTTGGGGAAGAAGGACACAGTATTTGAGGGATGTTTGTGAGGACAGTTCTGGTTGCTTCAGAGAAGAAGGACAAGGAGGTAGAAAGTGTGAAGGCCGTGGGACCAGCTGGGGTCACCGGGAGAGAGTGGTCAGACTGAGCACTGGCTTCTGGTGAGGAGGGACTGAAGCCTGGGTGAGGGGCGAGGTGGGCCTTAGCACCTGAGCGGGGCACAGTGATGACACTACTCAGGGGTCCTTCAAGTCTTGGGGGCTGCAGGAAGCCTTAAGCTCATTGTCACAGTGAAAACTTACACAACAGCTTCCCAGCCTTGATCAAAGGTGTCACAGGACCTTTTCCTCTCCACGTGGCAAGAAGGAGAGAAAACATCTCTGATATATGAGATGTCAGTTCTCCCTTATCTTTCCTATCCACTGGCTGAATTCCTATTTGGAAAAAAATGGACTCCCCAATTTCACATATTACATCCTCACTATAAAAAGTTCCAGAAAGAGAAAGATCTGTCCTTTCTGACCCACCGGTCAGAAATCTCAGCCGTCAGGACAAACAGACTATTCACGCCGTCTCCCATGACAGCTTCATGGTGACCAGGGAGCCTATCTGACTGCTTTTGGCCATACACAGCCTGTCCCTAACATTACAGCCGGGGACATTTATGCACTAAACTCATGGCTGGCAGATCTGGGGTCCAGACAGGATAAGAAAAGAAAAAGAAAGAAAAAAAAAAAACAAAACAGAAGACATGCCTAAGTAGCCCCACTGTGTGAATCACTCCACCCTCCATGCTCATCTTTAGTTTGTGATGGGTGTTGTCTTGTGAAAAATGAAAGCTGGCCTGGGACACAGGTAAGCATGTCTCTGTCTCATAAAGTCCATCGTGGGCTCTCTGACCTTTCTGATATCCTTTCACAAATCAGTTCCAGGCTGACACACAATGCCCATCAAGGAGGCATTGAATGGAGAATCAAGTAGTATTTGGAGACAGAAAGCAGATAAACACCCTCATGTGGGCCTCCTAAGCCCAGAGGAGAAAAAAATAAATAAATAAATAAAAAAGATTTCAAGAAGCCACACCAGAGGTCACTGATCGCCGTCACCTACTCACTTGTTCTCCATCTGCTCCTGCTCCTCTTTCACCTGAGGACCAGACTCAGGGGACAGCACCTGCCCCTCCCCTCTGTTCACACACTCCATAGGGTGCCTCCTTCTGCTCCCATCCCAAGGCTGCTGCTCCCCCAGGTCACCTGTGTCACTGCTTAGAGTCCTCGCTGGGTCCTTGTCCCCGGGTCTGAGATCAGTATCATCCTGGCTCTGACTCAGCTGTGGCCCTGCCTCTTCAGGACACAAAGCCAACTATTAGAGACATAACTGAACTCTCCGAGTTTACTCAAACCTTAGTTTCTTCTCAGTGTCCTTCTAGAAAGTGCTGTCTCTACCTAATAATGTCATATTATTTCCTCAGGTCTAGGACCGTTTGATTTCCAAAACGCTATACTCACTCTGATGTTCTCATTCCCTCACATGGCTCATTTTCCACTCAGCAGCTAATGACGCCCATCATGCATCTACAGCCCATTGTCACAAAAAAGAGAGATGGAACAGTTCCTTAGCACATACAGGGCTAGCAGAGAAAGCTTTCAATACCTCTTAGAAAATACTCCAAGATCTAAGAAACTTCATTCCAGAGCTTCATGAGTTTACTCCTGAGAAATAACGGCATGAATACATTAGGTAGTGCATGTTCCTGGCCTTCTCAGTGACTAACCTCAGAAAGATTCAGAGTATACGGTTCCAAAAGGTAAGTGCATGACTTTTACAAAAATCTAGTGTTAACTAATGTCAACAATTTTACTTGGCACATATATTTTAGAAGAAAAGCAGTAGGATGCTTAAAAATAAGGTTAAAAAGCCTTTTCAAGGCCGGGCGCTGTGGCTCACGCCTATAATCTGAACACTTTGGGAGGCCGAGACGGGTGGATCACGAGGTCAAGAGATCGAGACCATCCTCGTCAACATGGTCAAACCTGTCTCTACTAAAAATACAAACGCCATTGCACTCCAGCCTGGGTAACAAGGGCGAAACTCCGTCTCAAAAAAAAAAAAAAAAAATACAAAAAAATTAGCTGGGCATGGTGGCACATGCCTGTAGTCCCAGGTACTCGGGAGGCTGAGGAAGGAGAATTGCTTGAACTCAGGAGACAGAGGTTGCGTGAGCAGAGATCGCGCCATTGCACTCCAGACTGGGTGACAAGAGCGAAACTACATCTCAAAAAAAAAAAAAAAGAAAAAAAAGTCTTTTCAAAACACAGTGCTTACAGTCTACCAGGATGGTACCTGTGAAGCAGATTTTCTTTGCTGAAGATACACTGTGTTTTAAAATAATAACACAATAGTTTTAAATTTGTCTTCTTCTCTCACAACAAGCCAAAAATTTACATGATCCCATTTGTATGAAACATCTTTTTTAGAAAGTGTGTACATTTGAACATTTCCATCTCTCACCTCCCACCCAGGCTCTCCTAAAGCGGAATGTCCTCTTCTGCTGCCCACGTTCTCCCTCTCTCCACGCCTCTCCCACTCACACACGGCTCCTCCCTGCCTTCCTTTCCAGGAGCCCCAGCAGATTAAGGCCAAACCAGTAAACAAGCTCCTGGACGTGGGGAACAAAAGTACATCTTCTTGGATTCCTGAGGACTTGCCCTGCAAGGGTATCTTTCTACATAACAATTCCTCCTCCCAGGGAGTTCGCTTCTCCTAGATTCTGTTATTTATATTATGTGACACATCTGTGTCTACTGTGTGGACTCTGCTACATCTTCACCTGAACCCAGGGATCTTCAGTTCAGGCTGATATTCCCTTGGTTCTCCTATAGTCTTTTCCTCTTTATTCCTCTGATTCCACCAAATCATCTCTTCCTGGACCCTGGAGTGCAGCAGGGCCTTTGTGGTCTCTGACCCAGGGATTACGGAAATGGAAGAGGACTCTGGTGCCCCTCTGATTCCTTTGTTTTTATCAGGATGAACTGCAAAAGGCAGGGATTAGGTTTTCTAGATCAACAGGCATTTCCAACACTGAGCTCTATTCCCAGCAAAAGACACATGCTCAGTAACTATTTGACAAAGACCTACCTCTTATCACATGGCGCACATTCTACTGGCCCCAGGTTGGGGCTGAACTGGGAAAGGTAGCTGTGGACCTGCTCGTCTCTCTGCCCTCCCCCTAAGAGCTGATGTGGCATCCACCAGAAAGAGCATTCAGGGGCACGGAGGGGACCATGGGTAACCTTCTCCTGTATGTGAGACATTGCTCAGCCTGGGCACACAACCAAGATGACTATGACCGCAATCCTGGGGCAGTAGAGAACACAGCTTTAGCAGAATAACCATCTGGGAATGTGTGACTGGGCATCCTAGAGGAAAGAGCTCCCTTTCAACTCAGTGCTGCAGGATCACAGAGGAAGGAGAGCTCTGGCCAGCAGGGAGGAGCCACATGAGAGGAGAGGGCCCGATGTGGGAAGTGAGTTCATGAAGGTCACTGGGTTTGATTCTAACCTATAAGGATGTTGTGTAGTCACCACCTGAGTCCTCTACAATAAACGGTGAGAGCACCATGGAGAGATTCACCCCTGAGGGGCCCAGTAAAGTATGAGGACAGCCCTTAGGTCACAGGGAGAGGATACAGGCACCACCTGGCCTGACACAGAGAGGGGACAGAGAACAGAACAGCAGGGAGGCAGCGGTGTCTCTGAGAGGCTCTGGTCACCTTGTAAATGGTTTGTTTTGGTCTGGACACCAGGAGGCGCTTGAGAACCATTCCTGAGAAGACTGGAGGTGATTAGAGCAGGACCAGCCACCTGCCCTGCCTGGTGTCCTCTTCTCAAGGCTCACAGCTGGGTCCTCCCCACCCCTGAGGACCACAATGCCCCACACCTGGTACCCCCAACATCCTCAGGCATAGGGAGCTCACCCAGGGCCCAGGGTGGGATTAGAAAGCTGGGGGTTCTGATTTGCATGGATGGACCCTCCCACTCTCAGATATGAAGAGGGGCAGGGAGACATTTGGGGAAGCTCTGCTTCAGCTGTGGGCACAGAAGGTGACACTCAGGACAATCTCCAGCATGGCCTGGGCTCCTCTCCTCCTCACTGTCCTGGCTCACTGCACAGGTGACTGGATGGGGTCCAGGGGAGGGACCCTGGGAAGCCTATGGATTCTTGCTTTCTCCTCTTGTCTCTACACCCAGAATGATGATGGCCTGTGTGTCTCCCACTTCCAGGATGCTGGGCCCAGTCTGTGCTGACTCAGCCACCCTCAGTGTCTGGGAACCCTGGGCAGAGGGTCACCATCTCCTGTTCTGGAAGCAGCTCCAACATTGGAAGTAGCTATGTAAACTGGTACCAGCAGCTCCCAGGAACGGCCCCCAAACTTCTCATCTATTATAATGATCAGCGACCCTCAGGGGTTTCTGACCGATTCTCTGGCTCCAAGTCCGGCAACTCAGCCTCCCTGGCCATCACTGGACTCCAGTCTGCGGATGAGGCTGATTATTATTGCATGTCATATGACAGCAACCTGGATGCTCACACAGTGCTCCAGGCCCAGGGGGAAGTGAGACAAGAACCCCTTTCTCCTCTGCCAGGAGGGTGAGCGCTCAACAGCTGCTGCTCAGTCGTGGCCTGTGGCTTCTGCTGCTGCTGCTTCCTCCATGGTCCAGGGCATCCTAGGCCCTGCCTGGGAGTAGACGCTTCTCTTTTCTTGTGTTCTGAGAATCAGACACAGCACCTCCTTCCTAGGAACAGGGCCTCCAGGAAACAAAACGTTCTGTTCCCTGTACCCTGGGACACGGAGTCTGCACTGAAGTCCTGGTATGAGGCTGCTGTTCCAGCTGTGTCACCTCAGACCCACCTCTTATGTGGAACCTGTGTCTCCATCATGCTCATTTCCTGACTTCCAGAAGTTCCCAGACTGGTGGCTCTCTCTCCCTTCTCCTCAGGGTGTATGCCTTTGCTTCTTTCCTCCCAAGCCTATTCTCTTTTATAAAATTCTTTCCAAGAAGGAATAATGTACATATAATAAAAGACCAATATTTACATTATACTATTACACCCATTTTCAGATCTATCTGGATCCCTGACAGCATCACCACCGCCAGCTATGCAACCTGTGTCCAACCCCAGCAGCTCCTCCTCACCCTTTGCCATCTCCCTCTCTCCCCAAATGCCCTTCCAGGAAGCCACAGATCTTTCTCTATCACTACGGCTTTGTTTTCATTTTGGGGAATGATAGCGTTATCAAACATTATCTTCTCGTTTGTTCAGGCTTGTTTCACTCTGCACACTTCTTCTGAGATTCTCCCTGTGGTTGCTGAATTGCATCTCATCCCATAAAGGGCTCATCAGAACCTTTGAGGGTTTCTGGGTCATTTTGCCTTTTATGGCTATTTTTACTTTTGTATAGACACATATGCATCATCTGGGATAGATTATATTCCTTTTTTCTGATTTTAAAAAAATCAGTACATTTTCTGGGGACTCTAACAGCATCGAGCCCTGCAGGCAGTTCACCTTCTCTCTACAGTGACACGCAGCCCTGCCTGCATCTTATGCTATTACTTACTTACCTCTCACCAGTGCTGGACAATTTTGTTTTATTATCCTGATTTTGAATGGGTAATACACAAACAAGATGGCACACGAGAACTATGAAAAGCACCTCCCCCTCCTCCATCCTGTCTCTGGGCCTGTTGGTTTCTCTCAGCAGAAGTGACCGAGGATGCTGAGATTTCTGTCCCTTCCAGCCAGGGTCTGTGTGTAGAAACACTGGGGTCTGTCTGTGTCTCTTTGGGCAACCACATTATGTTTCCTTTAGTACATGTACAACCTTGCTATTGACAAACAACCTTTTAATTCCTGAGACTGTGACTTCATTTAATCCTGACAGAAACTCTACTATTCCTTTCAGGCAATGGGCCCTGATTAAAGAGGAAGTGTTTGTGGCCTGAAGGCAGGGATCTAATTTATCAATATAAACTCTAGAGGCCAGTGAAATGTAAATTTACTAAAACAATGATTAAGAATAATATGTAGGCTAGGTGTGCTGGCTCACACATTCATCCCTGCACTTTGGGTGGCTGAGGCTCTTGCACTGCTTGAGGCCAGGAGTTTGAGACAAGTCTGATCAACGTAGTGCACCTTCACATATGGATGAGTAACAGCTACTATGGATTCAAGCAGAGTCCACAGGTGTATCCATGAGGGCCTCTTCTGCTCCCCAGCCCTCTCACACAGGTGACTACTGCTGTGGCTCTGGTGGAGTGGCCCCTGTCCTCTGAAGGACACAAGGTTTTCCTTTCTTTCTAAACAACGCATATAGTGGCGAAGGTATGGGTGGGTGTACAGCAGATTGGCTCTTCCAGATGCGAAGCAGTAAGACTGTGACTACAGAGAAATTATGTCACAAAATCCCACACCCTTTCATGACAAAAACACTCAATGAATTGTAACTAAAAGGAAACAACCTTAGCAGAGTAAAGCCCATCTATGAAACTCCCTCAGTTAACATCATATGCAATCTGAAGAATGGAAGATATTTTCTGTAATTTCAGGAACAAAGCAAGGATGCACACTTTCACCACTTTTTTTCCAAATAGCATGGAAAGACCTAGTCAGGACAGTTAGCCACAAAGAAGAAACAAAGAGAATAGAAATCAGAAATGAAAAAGTAAAATGATCTCTGTTTTCAGACAACATAATCTCATTTATAGAAAAACCATAAAACACATACCAAAATTACATACTTTTCTGAGCTAAGGAAGCATGTTCTAACCCAATGCAGAAAAGCTAAGAACCTTGATAAAAGTTTACAGGAACTGCTCATTGGAATAATCAGTTTAGACAGGAACATAAATGATCTGATGCAGCGGAAAAACACAGCAGAAAAACTTTGTAAAGTATAAATACACAAGTATCAACAGCCAAATTAATCAAGTGGAAGAAAGTGTACCAGACACTGAAGATAAACTTACTGAAATAGGTGTGAAGACAAGATAAGAGAAAAAACAATGAAAAGAAATAAATAAAGCCTCCAAGAAATATGAGACTATGTGAAAAGACCAAACGTACGACTGACTGGTGTACCTGAAAGTGATGAGGAGAATGCAACCAAGTCGGAAAACACACATCAGATTATTATCCAGGAGAATTTCCCCAACTCAGCAAGATTGGCAACATTCAAATTCAGGAAATAGAGAGAACACCACTAAGATACTTCTCGAGAAGAGAAACCCCAAGATGCGTAGTCGTCAGATTCTCCAGGTTTTAAATGAAGGAAAAAATGTTAAAGGCAGCCAGAGAGAAAGATCAGGTTATCTACAAAGAGAAGCCCGTAAGTGTAACAGTGACTGTTTCTGCAGAAACCCTACCAGCCACAGAGACTTGGAGCTAATATTCAACGTTTTTAAAGAAAAGAATTTTCAAACCAGAATTTTATATCTAGCCCAATTCAGCTTCATAAGTGAAGGAGAAATAAAATCCTATACAGATAAGCAAATGCAGAGGGATTTTGTCACCACTAGTCCTGCCTTACAAGAGCTCCTGAAGAAAGCACCAAATATGGACAGAAAAAACTGGTGCCAGCCACTGCAAAAACACACCATAATGGAAAACCCAGTAATACTATGAAAATACTGTATCAACTAATGGGAAAAATAACCAGCTAGCATCAACAGGACACAATTAAATTCACACATAACAATATTAATTTTAAATTTAAATAGGCTAAATGCCTCCAATTAAAAAACACAGGCTGACAAATTGGAAGGAGTCAAGACCCTTTGGTGTACTGTATTCAGGAGACACATCTCATGTGCAAAGACACACATATGTTCAAAATAAAACAATGATGAAATATTGACCAAGTTAATGCAAAGCAAAAGAAAGCACGGGTTGCAATCTTAGTCTCTGATAAAACAAACTATAAACCAAAAAAGATAAAAAAGATACAAAGAATGGTATTACATAATGGTAAAGGAATCAATGCAACAAGAAGAACTAACTATGCTAAGTACATATGTACCCAATACAGGAGCATTCAGATTTAAAAATCAAGTTCTTAGAGACCTACAAAGAGACTTAGACTCCCAGACAATAATAGTGGAAGACGTCAGCACCCCATTGTCAATATTACACAGATCAATGAGACAGAAAATTAACAAGGATATCCCATTCTTAGAAAACCACATCATCTGCTCCCAAAACCTCCTTAAGCTGACAAGCAACTTCAGCAAATGCTCAGGATATGAAATCAGTGTGGAAAAATCACAAGCATTCTCACATACCAGAAATAGACAAGCAGAGAGCCAAATCAGGAACTCCCGCTGCCAATTCCTACTAAGATAATAAAATACCTAGGAATACAACTTACAAGGGACATGAAGGACCTCTTCAAGGAGAACTACAAATCACTGCTCAAGGAAATAAGAGAGGACATATACTCAGCTCTGGACCACGTGGACCTAATTAGATATTTACAAAACTCTCCACCACAAATTAAGAGAATATACATTCTTCTCAGTGCCACATAGCACATATTCTAAAACCAACCACATAATTGGAAGTAAAACACTCAGCAAATGCAAAAGAATGGAAATTAGAAGAAAAAGTCTCTCAGACCACTGTACAATCAAATTATCACTCAGGATTAAGAAACTCACTCAAAACCACACAACTGAACAAAAATGGAACAACCTGCTCCTGAATGACTACTGAGTAAAAAATGAAATTAGGGCAGAAATAAAGAAGTTGTTTGAAACCAATAAGAACAAAGAGACAATGTACCAGAATCTCTGGGACACTGCTAAAGCAGTGTTTAGAGGAAAATTTATAGCACTAAATGCCCACATCAAAAAGCAAGAAAGACCTATAACTTACACCCTAACATCACAATTAAAAAACTGGAGAAGCAAGAGCAAACAAATTCAAACACTAGCAGAAGATAAGAAATAACCAAGATCAGAGCAGAACTAAAGAAGATAGAAACACAAAAAACCCTTCAAAAAAGTCAATGAATCCAGAAGCTGGTTTTTAAAAGATTAGCAATATAGATTGACCACTAGTTCAACTAATAAAGAGAAGAATCAAATAGACACAATTAAAAAAGATAAACAAGGTATCACCACTGATCCCACAGAAATAGAAACTACCATCAGAGAATACACCAACACCTCTATGTAAATAAACTAGAAAATCTAGAAAAAAATGGATAAATTTTTGGATACATATACCCTCTGAAGATTACACCAGAAAGAAGTTGAATCCCTGAATAGACCATTAACAAGTTCCGGAATTGAGGCAGTAATTAAGAGCTTATAGACCAAAACAAACCAAAAAAAAAAGCCCTCTGCAGGCCAGAAAAGCTACAGCTCCAACCTCAACAGAAGAAAACGGTCAAGCCGGGTGCGGTGGCTCAAGCCTGTAATCCCAGCACTTTGGGAGGCTGAGGCGGGTGGATCACGAGGTCGAGAGATCGAGACCATCCTGGTCAACATGGTGAAACCCCGTCTCTACTAAAAATACAAAAAACTAGCTGGGCGTGGTGGCGCGTGCCTGTAATCCCAGATACTTAGGAGGCTGAGGCAGGAGAATTGCCTGAACCCAGGAGGCGGAGGTTGCGGTGAGCCGAGATCGCGCCATTGCACTCCAGCCTGGGTAACAAGAGCGAAACTCTGTCTCAAAAAAAAAAAAAAAAAAAAGAAGAAGAAGAAAACGGCCACTCAGATTCCTCCTGAAATCACCAACTTCAAAGATCAAAGGGAGACAAATCCATGAAGATGGGGAAAAAAACAAGCGCAAAAAGAATGAAACCATTAAAGAACAGAACACCTCTTCTCCCAGGGATCACAACTCCTCACCATCATGAGAACAAAAAAAAAAAAAGAATGAATCTGATGATTGACAGAAGCAGGCTTCAGAAGGTGGGTAATAACAAACTTCTCTGAGTTAAAAGACCATGTTCTAACCCAACGCAAAGAAACTAAGAACCTTGACAAAAGATTAGACGCAATGCTAACTAGAATAACCAGCTTAGAGAAGAGCGGAAAAACACCGCACGAGAACTTCACAGGTATACACAAGTTTCAGCAGCCGAATCGATCAAGAAGAAAGGATATCAGAGATAGAAGATCAAATGAATGAAATAAAATGACAAGGTAAGATTAGAGAAAAAAGAGTGCAAAAAAAGGAACAAAGCCTCCAAGAACTACGGGGTTATGCATATCTCCTGAACCCCAGGAATCTTCAGTTCAGGCTGATATTTCCTTGGTTCTCCTATAGTCTTTTCCTCTTTCTTCCTCTGATTCCACCAAATCATGTCTTCGTGGACCCTGGAGTGCAGCAGGGCCTCTGTGTTCTCTGACCCAGGGATTACGGAAATGGAAGAGGACTCCGGTGCCCCTCCAATGCCTTTGTTTTTATCAGGATCAACTGCAAAAGGCAGCAATTAGGCTTTCTAGATCAACATGGCATTTCCAACACTGAGCTCTATTCCCAGCAAAAGATACATGCTCAGTAACTATTTGACAAAGACCTACCTCTTATCACATGGGGTACATTCTACTGACCCCAGGATGGGGCTGAACTGGGAGAGGTGGCTGTGGACCTGCTCATCTCTCTGCCCTCACCCTAAGAGCTGATGTGGCATCCAACAGAATGAGCATTCACGAGCAGGGAGGGGACCGCGGGCAACCTTGTCCTGGATGTGAGACACTGCTCAGCCCGGTCACAGAACCCAGATGACTATGACTGCAATCCTGGGGCAGTAGAGAACACAGCTTTACCAGAATAACCATCTGGGAATGTGCACTGGGCATCCTAGAGGAAAGAGCTCCCTTTCAATTCAGTGCTGCAGGATCACAAAGGAAGGAGAGCTCTGGCCACCAGGGAGGAGCCACAGGAGAGGAGAGGGCCCGATGTGGGAAGTGAGTTCATGAAGGTCAGTTCCTGCTCCGGGTTTGATTCTGACCTATGAGGATGTTGTGTAGTCACCACCTGAGTTCTCTTCAATAAACGGTGAGAGCGCCATTGACAGATTCACCTCTGAGGAGCCCAGTAAAGTATGAGGACAGCCCTAAGGTCACAGGGAGAGGATACAGGCACCACCTGGCCTGACAGAGAAGGGGACAGAGAACAGAACTGCAGGGAGGCATCAGTGTCTCTGAGAGGCTGTGGTCACCTTGTAAATGGCTTGTTTTGGTCTGGACACCAGGAGGCGCTTGAGAACCATTCCTGAGAAGACTGGGGGTGATTAGAGCAGAACCAGCCACCTGGCCTGCCTGGTGTCCTCTTCTCAGGGCTCGCAGCTGGATCCTCCCCCCGCCTTAGGACCACAATACCCCACCCTGCCACGCCATGACACCCCCTGACATCCTCAGGCATAGGGACCTTACCTAGGGCCCAGGGTGGGATTAGAAAGCTGGGGTTCTGATTTGCATGGATGGACCCTCCCACTCTCAGATATGAAGAGGGGCAGGGAGACATTTGGGGAAGCTCTGCTTCAGCTGTGGGCACAGAAGGCGACACTCAGGACAATCTCCAGCATGGCCTGGGCTCCTCTCCTCCTCACTGTCCTGGCTCACTGCACAGGTGACTGGATGGGGTCCAGGGGAGGGACCCTGGGAAGCCTATGGATTCTTGCTTTCTCCTCTTGTCTCTACACCCAGAATGATGATGCCTGTGTGTCTCCCACTTCCAGGATGCTGGGCCCAGTCTGTGCTGACTCAGCCACCCTCAGTGTCTGGGAACCCTGGGCAAAGTGTCACCATCTCCTGTTCTGGAAGCAGCTCCAACATCGGAAGTAATTATGTCAGCTGGTACCAGCAGCTCCCAGGAACGGCCCCCAAACTTCTCATCTATGGTAATAATCAGCGACCCTCAGGGGTTTCTGACCGATTCTCTGGCTCCAAGTCCGGCACCTCAGCCTCCCTGGCCATCACTGGACTCCAGTCTGCGGATGAGGCTGATTATTATTGCCAGTCATATGACAGCAACCTGAAAGCTCGCACAGTGCTCCAGGCCCAGAGGGAAGTGAGACAAGAACCCCTTTCTCCTCTGCCAGGAGGGTGAGCGCTCAACAGCTGCTGCTCATTCGTGGCCTGTGGCTTCTGCTGCTGCTGCTTCCTCCATGGTCCAGGCATCCAGGGCCCTGCCTGGGAGTAGACGCTTCTCTTTTCTTGTGTTCTGAGAATCAGACACAGCACCTCCTTCCTGAACAGGGCCTCCAGGAAACAAAACGTTCTGTTCCCTGTACCTTGGGACACGGTTTCTGCACTGAAGTCCTGGGATGATGCTGCTGTTCCAGCTGTGTCACCTCAGACCCACCTCTTATGTGGAACCTGTGTCTGCATCATGCTCATTTCCTGATTTCCAGAAGTTCCCAGACTGGTGGCTTTCTCTCCCTTCTCCTCAGGGTGAATCCCTTTGCTTCTTTTCTCCTCAGCCTATTCTCTTTAATAAAATTCTTTCCAAGAAGGAATAATGTACATATAATAAACCACCAATATTTACATTATATTATTACGCCTATTTTCGGATCTATCTGGATCCCGGAAAACATCACCACCACCAGCTATGCAACCTGTGTCCAACCCCAGCAGTTCCTCCTCACCCTTTGCCATCTTCCTCTCTCCCGCAAAGCATCCCGGGAAGCCACAGATCTTTCTCTATCACTACTGCTTTGGTTTTCATGTTGGGGAATGTCAGCGTTATCAAACAATATCTTCCCGTTTGTTCAGGCTTCTCTCACTCTGCACACTTCTTCTGAGATTCCCCCTGTTGTTGCTGAACTGCATCTCATCACATAAAGGGCTCATTAGTACCTTTGAGGGTTTCTGGGTCATTTTGCCTTTTATGGCTATTTTTACGTCTGTATAGACACATGTACATCATCTGGAATAAATTATATTCCTTTTTCTGATTTAAAAAAATCAGTACATTTTGTGGGGACTCTAACAGCATCGAGCCCTGCAGGCAGTTCACCTTCTCTCTCCAGTGACGCGCAGCCCTGCCTGCATCTTACGCTATTACTTACTCACCTCTCACCAGTGATGGACAACTTTGTTTTATTCTCCTGATTTTGAATGGGTAATACACAAACAAGATGGCACACGAGAACTATGAAAAGCACCTCCCCCTCCTCCATCCTGTCTCTGGGCCTGTTGGTTTCTCTCAGCAGAAGTGACCGAGGATGCTGAGATTTCTGTTCCCTCCCAGCCAGGGCCTGTGTGTAGAAACACGGGGGTCTGTCTGTGTCTCTTTGGGCAACACATTATGTTTCCTTTAGTACATGTACAACCTTGCTATTGACAAACAACCCTTTAATTCCTGAGACTGTGACTTCATTTAATCCTGACAGAAACTCTACTATTCCTTTCAGGCAATGGGCCCTGATTGGAGAGGAAGTGCTTGTGGCCTGAAGGTAGGGTTCTAATTTATCAACATAAACTCTAGAGGTCAGTGAAATTTAAATTTAGTAAAACAATGACTAAGAATCAGTATGTAGGCTAGGTGTGGTGGCTCACACCTTCATCCCTGCACTTTGGGAGGCTGAGGCTGTTGCATTGCTTAAGGCCAGGATTTTGAGACAAGTCTGACCAACGTAGTGCACCTTACCATATCCTAAAACTACATAAATTATCTGGGCCTCATGGCACATTCCTGTAATTCCAGTTACTCAGAAGACTGATGCATGACAATCACTTGTGCCCAAGAGGCGGAGGTGGCAGTGAGCTGAGACTGGGCCACTGCACTCCAGGTGGGGTAACAGAGCGAGACTCTGAGTCAAAAAAAGAAAAAGACAGCATCTCTGTCTCCAAGACCATATTGTTTATTTAAATATAGACATAACTGGGTGCCCCTTACTATATGTGGAAACCTTACACAGTGTCACAACATGGAAGAGGCAAAGCTGGGTCCGGCCTCCCTTACTGATGCTGGGTCTAGGGGCTTAACCACAAAGACGGAGCTTCTTTAACACAGGTACTCTCAAGTAAGCACATCAGTTTGCACTAAATGCACGTGATATAATTCCCAGGAAATGATGCCTACCCACTTCCCTAATTATTCATTCTATTAGTCTTCAATCTGCAGATTTGGGGCCTCCCCAGGGCTCGCTTCAGTCTGAGCTCTGGACAATGAATCTAATGTTCACCCAGGGATGCATAAGTAGCATGTGAGAGACAGAAGAGCTGAGCCTGGCTCTGCCTATTTCCAGTGAGACACCAGCTTCAGGTTCATTTGATGCTGGAGGCTGGTGAGCTGAGAACAGAGGAGACACCAAGTCTTAGAGCACACGGCTTCCTGGAGAGAAATCTGGAGCCTGGAAATGGGTCATACTCCTGAGTGGGGAAGAAACAGGCAGCTCTGGGCACAGCCTTTCATTCCTGGTGGGTTCCTGTTCATCAAGCTGGGCTCCCTGCTCTGATGTCTATCAGGGAACCCCTCCGGCAGGTTCAAGATTTCAGGACTTTACTACAAATAGCAGAGTGGGCAGGCAGGTATGTCATGATTCAGGAGTTCTGTGCACAGCAGTAAGTACAGATGCACATTCACAAGGACCCTCACAGCGGTCTCTTTTGGAGTGGAAGAAATACAGAAAGGCAGAGAGAAACTGAAAGACTCATTGTGTCTGGGCCTAGGACAGCACTGGATGCTGTGGGCTTATCTCTCGGGGGTCTGCAGGAGACCATAGCTAAGAAGCCAGCCCCTGATGTGACCCTGTGTCATCTGCTCACCATTGGGCTCAGCAGCTGCATTCTCACAGGAAACTGGGTGCAGCTAGCCTTGCCTTCTTTACCCCACCTGGAAAATGTGTTTATGTGATGGTCAGGACTGAGATCCTTTAAAGGCATGGAAGACAAGGGAAGAGGGCTGATGTGGATGCAGCAGTCATACTACACCCTTTTCTTTACATTAATGTTCATTAATGGAAACTCTGGGGTCATCCAAATCTAATCAACCTAAAAGAGGGGTTATCAGTTGGAGGTGGCCAGAGTGAGAAAAAAAACTGGCTTCCTTGAAAGACCCATTAAAAAAAATAAGAAAATAAAAGAAAGACTCATCAACACAGACACAAACTCTGGGACAAATGGGGTGAGTCACTATAACTGTCACCCCATGTTATCCACAGGAGCCTGAGCCTAGTCCTCTTACCCTATTGCTTCTGATTCTGGTCTATTCCCCTTTGTCCATGAACCCTTGCCTATGTCTGAATCCAGGGTGGTAGGCGAGCATCATCCCAGTCCACATCTATAGAGCAGTAACAGCTACTATGGATTCAAGCAGAGTCCACAGGTGTATCCATGAGGGCCTCTTCTGCTCCCCAACCCTCTCACACAGGTGACTACTGCTGTGACTCTGGCAGAGTGGCCCCTGTCCTCTGAAGGACACAAGGTTTTCCTTTCTCTCTAAACAACGCAAATAGTGGCAGAGGTATGGGTGGGTGTAGAGCAGATAGGCTCTTCTAGATGCAAAGCAGTAAGATTTTGGCTAAAGAAAAATTATTTCACAAAATCCCACACCCTTTCATGACAAAAACACTCAATGAATTGTAACAAAAAGGAAACTACCTTAGCAGAGTAAAGCCCATCTATGAAACTCCCTGAGTTAACGTCATATGCAATCTGAAAAACTGAAGATATTTTCTGTAATTTCAGGAACAAAGCAAGGATGCACACTTTCACCATTTCTTTTGAAAATAGTATGGAAAGACCTAGTCAGAACAGTTAGCCATGAAGAGTAAATAAAAAGAACAGAAATTAGAAATCAAAAAGTAAAATAATCTCTGTTTTCAGACAACATAATCTCATATGTAGAACAACCATAAAACACATACAAAAATAACATACATTTCTGAGCTAAGGAAGCATGTTCTAACCCAATGCAGGGAAGCTAAAATCCATGATAGAAGTTTACGGGAACTGCTCATTGGAATAATCAGTTTAGACAGGAACATAAATGATCTGATGCAGCTAAAAAACACAGCACAAACGCTTTATAAACTATACATACACCAGTATCAATAGCCAGATTAATCAAGTGGAAGAAAGTGTATCAGACACTGAAGGTAAACTTACTGAAATAGGTGTGAAGACAAAATAAGAGAAAAAAGAATGAAAAGAAATAAACAAAGCCTCCAAGAAATATGAGACTATGTGAAAAGACCAAATTTATGATTGACTGGTGTACCTGAAAGTGACAAGGAGAATGCAACCAAGTTGGAAAACACACACCAGAATATTATCCAGAAGAATTTCCCCAACTCAGCAAGACAGGCCAACATTCAAATTCAGGAAATAGAGAGACCACCACTAAGATACTTCTCGAGAAGAGAAACCCCAAGATGCATAGTCGTCAGATTCGCGAAGTTTCAAATGAAGGCAAAAATGTTAAGGGCAGCCAGAGAGAAAGATCAGGTTATCTACAAAGAGAAGCCCATAAGTGTAACAGTGAGAAGCCCATAAGTGTAACAGTGACTGTTTCTGCAGACACCCTATCAGCGAGAGAGACTTGGAGCTAATACTCAACATTTTTAAAGAATAGAATTTTCAAACCAGAATTTCATATCTAGCCCAAATAAGCTCCATAAGTGAAGGAGAAATAACATTCTATACAGATAAGCAAATGCTGAGGGATTCTGTCACCACCAGTCCTGCCTTACAAAAGCTCCTGAAGAAAGCACTAAATATGGAAAGAAAAACCTGGTTCCAGCCGCTGCAAAAACACACCATAATGGAAAATCCAATGATACTATGAAAATACTGTATCAACTAATATGAAAAATAACCAGCTAGCATCATCAGGACACAATCAAATTCATACATAACAATATTAATTTTAAATTTAAATAGGCTAAATGACTCCAACTTAAAAACAAAGACTCAAAAATTGGATAAAGAGTCAAAACCCTTTGGTGTACTGTATTCAGGAGACATATCTCATGTGCAAAGACACACATAGGCTCAAAATAATACAATGGTGAAATATTGACCAAGCAATTACAAAGCAAAAGCAAGCATGGGTTGCAATCTTAGTCTCTGATAAAACAAACTATAAATCAACAAAGATAAAAAATACAAAGAATGGCATTACATAGTGGTAAAGAAATCAATACAACAAGAAGAACTAACTATGCTAAGTATATACATACCAAATACAGGAGTATTCAGATTCAAAACCAAGTTCTTAGAGACCTACAAAGAGATTTAGACTCCCAGACAATAACAGAGGAAGACATTAGCACCCCACTGACAATATTATACAGATCAATGAGATAGAAAATTAACAAGGATAGCCCATTCTTAGAAAACTCCATCATCTCATCCCAAAACATCCTTAAACTGATAAGCAACTTCAGCAAAGTCTCAGGATATGAAATCAATGTGCAAAAATCATAAGCATTCTCACATACCAGAAATAGACAAGCAGAGAGCCAAATCATGAGTGAAGTCCCATTGCCAATTCCTACGAAGATAATAAAATACCTAGGAATACAACTTAAGGGGACATGAAGGACCTCTTCAAGGAGAACTACAAATCACTGCTCAAGGAAATAAGAGAGGACATATACTCAGCTCTGGACCACGTGGACCTAATTAGATATTTACAAAACTCTCCACCACAAATTAAGAGAATATACATTCTTCTCAGTGCCACATAGCACATATTCTAAAACCAACCACATAATTGGAAGTAAAACACTCAGCAAATGCAAAAGAATGGAAATTAGAAGAAAAAGTCTCTCAGACCACTGTACAATCCAATTACCACTCAGGATTAAGAAACTCACTCAAAACCACACAACTGAACAAAAATGGAGCAACCTGCTCCTGAATGACTACTGGGTAAAAATGAAATTAGGGCAGAAATAAAGAAGTTGTTTGAAACCAGTAAGAACAAAGAGACAATGTACCAGAATCTCTGGGACACTGCTAAAGCAGTGTTTAGAGGAAAATTTATAGCACTAAATGCCCACATCGAAAAGCAAGAAAGATCGAAAATTGACACCCTAACATCACAATTAAAAAAACTAGAGAAGCAAGAGCAAACAAATTCAAATGCCAGCAGAAGTTAAGAAATAACCAAGATCAGAGCAGAACTGAAGGAGATTCAGTTCAAAATGCTTCAAAAAAATCAATGAATCCAGAAGCTGGTTTTTAAAGGATTAGCAATATAGATTGACCACTAGCTCAACTAATAAAGAGAAGAATCAAATAGACACAATAAAAAACGACAAACAAGATATCACCACTGATGTCACAAAAATAGAAACTACCATCAGAGAATACACCAAACACCTCTATGCAAATAAACTAGAAAATCTAGAAGAAATGGATAAATTTTTGGATACATACACCCTCCGAAGATTAAACCAGAAAGAAGTTGAATCCCTGAATAGAGCAATAACAACTTCTGGAATTGAGGCAGTAATTAATAGGATACAAAGCAAGAAAAAAAAAAAAGGCCCAGGACCAGGCAGATTCAAAGTCAAATTCTACCAGAGGTACAAGAGAGACTGACAACATTCCTTCCAAATCTATTCCAACAACAGAATAGAGAGGCCTCTCTACATCATTATATGAGGCCAGCATCATCGTGATATCAAAATACAGCAGACATATAACAACAACAACATAAATCAGGTCAGTATCCTTGATGAATATCAATGCGAAAATTCTCAGTAATATACTGGCAAACCAAACCCAGCAGCACATCAAAAAGCTTATTTACCACGATCAAGTCAGCTTCATAACTGGGATTCAAGGCTGGTTCAACATACACAAATCAATAAACATAAGTGATTGAATAAAAGCCACAATTGACAAATGGTATGTAATCAAACTAAATAGCTTCTGCATGGTTAAAGAAACTATCATCAGAGTGAACAGGCAACCTACAGAATGGGAGAAAATTTTTGCAAACTACCCATCTCACCAAGGTCTAATATTTAGAATCCACAAGAAACTTAAACAATTGTACAAGAAATAAACAACCCCATCAAAAAATGGGTGATATGAACAGACACTTCTCAAAAGAAGACATTTATGTGTCAACAAACATATAAAAATAGCTCATCATCACTTGTCATTAGAGAAATGAAAATCAAAACCACAATGGATAGCATCTCATACCAGTTAGAATGGCGATTATTAAAATGTCAGAAAATCACAGATGCTGGCGAGGCTGTGGAGAAACAGAAACACTTTTACCCTCTTGATGGGAGGGTAAATTAGTTCAACCAATGTGGACGACAGTGTGGCGATACCTCAGGATCTAACACCAGAAATACTATTTGAGCTCAGTAATTTCATTACCGGGTATATCCCCAAAGGATTGATGATAAATCATTCCACTATAAAGAAAGGTGCACATATATGTTTACTGTATTACTATTTACAAAAGCAGAGATGTGGAACCAACCCAAATGCCATCAAAGACAGACTGGATATAGAAAATGTGGCATATATACAACATGGAATATTATGCAGCCATTAAAAGGAATGAGATTGTGTTCTTTGTAGGGACATGAATAAAGCTGGAAGCCATCATTCTCAGCAAAGTAACACTGGAACAAAATACTGAACACCGCATGTTCTCACTCATAAGTGGGAGTTAAACAATGAGAACATATGGACACAGGGGAGGAACATCACACACCAGGGCCTGTAGAGAACTGGAAGCAAGTAAAGGGAGCGCATTAGGACAAATGCCTAATGCATGCAGGGCTTAAAACCCAGATAGTGGATTGATAGCAGCAGGAAACCACCATGCCACGTGTGTATCTCTGAAACAAACCTGCATAATCTGCACACATGTATCCAAGA